TCATGTTAATCAGCAGCACAGCACATGAGTGAGAATAACGCGATATCTGTCTTTGATCTAGTAGGTATCTTTTTTATTATTATTATTATGCCATACATCAGAACAATACAACGAGAAACACTCAAATGTAGAAGAAAAATAGAAAAAGATGAACAACATTAATGTAAAACAGTGCCAGAGGACAGTAACAAAATAAGTAATCTTGTAGGTATCTGTTCACTTCGAGAGGTCAGAAATGTCCGTCTTGCCTGCTCTTATTTCACTCCTCCCCTCACTGCAGCCGCCTACTCTCGCTTTCATTTCAGGCGAGGCGAGGCGCATCTCAAACAAACCTAATGTCACATCTGGAAGAGAGGCATACAAGCACGTGTTTGTGTGCGCACGTTCGTTTTCTCTGAATCGCACTTATGCACTTTTGAGAAATGATCTTAGAACAAATTTAGGACGGTTTATACGCAACATTTTATAAATGAGGCCCCAGGAGATGTTTCCTAATAGTTGCTGATTCTGAGGTTGCATGACTTCGTTCATTTAATAAATGCATTAAAACTCATTACTGTGTTGGAAATATTTACTGTAAAATGTTGGGTGGACTGTAAGCCCAACAAGCTTTAACGCTCTCTAACGGCGAACTATTGGAATTTAGAAAATTTTGGAAGCCAAACAGCCCAAAGCGGTCAGTAGTTTAAGTTTGCTTTGTTGTATCTTTTAACATGATACGAACTGAGTGCCTGTAATCAGTCAGGGCAAGACGTACAAAACGAGCACCGCACGATGCGTAAGCGTGACGTCATCATTGCTCGCGTCACAAAAAAAGCGAAAGTAAAAACTAAGCTACTAACGGTAAAAATATAAAAAAGTTTCCATTATTTTATTCCATCATTTTATTTTTATATGTAAATAACATTCAGAAACGGTAATTGAAATAAATAAGGATCAATATGAAAGAAAAACAAAACAAAAGAAATGCCATTTATTTATTATTTCATCTGACATGCGCAACACGGACCGAAGCGCACCTAGAGGCGCGCTAAAAAAGAAACAAAGTGCGTTTATTCACATATTGTTCTCTCTCTTAATATGTACGTGAGTGTATACAGCATCATACAGTATATGCCTAAAGGATTGAAGGCTGTCGGGTAAAAGAAGAGCATACTGATGCAGTTCACTCAGTCTGCTATTTTATTCCAACCGTTACTCCTCACCAGACGCTTCCGTAAATATTTAGTTTATAAGTTACACTTCAACTACGTGTAATGGTGCAACGAAAAAATATTTAGTAGTGCGTAAGTTGTAACTCAGGATAAATTGTATGTATTTAATCATATAGTGTTATAGCAATGTGGGTGAGTAGCTGACAGATGTGGCTTTATTGTATTCAAATTCTGGCTTTCTAATGCAAACAGTCTATGAGAAACTAAAGGAAATGCAAAAAGTGTTGCAACCGTCCCCACTCTCCCCTACTTCCCGAAAGACTTCCTCTAGTTCTGTCTGAAGTTAAAGTGCGACACGAAGGTAAGCGCATTACTGTTGTAGTTGTTGTTCATTTTTTGTCGTTCAATATGTATCAATGAATGACAATTTTGACTGTCATGGTGTGTGCATGAAGAAGTGTGAAATATCTGCTAATTACGTTGCTTCTTCCGATCACTTATATTGGGCACTTTTTGATTGCCGTTTTGACATAGCCTACTGTCTGCCTGCATATTTTAGTCATATTTGGTAATTATCTTTTAAAGGGGTCATATGATGTTGCTAAAAAGAACATTTGGTGTAGGCCTATTTGGTGTAATGAAATGTGTTTATGCGGTTTAAGGCTAAAAAAACACATTATTTTCCACATACTGTACATTATTGTTTCTCCTCTATCCCCCGCCTTTCTCAAACGTGTTGATTTTTACAAAGCTCATTGCAAATCTTCCCACATCGTGACGTAGACATGTGGGGGCGTGTTAGAACGAGCCGCTTTAGGTAGGCGTGGTTAACTCTTAACTTTTATAAAGAATATCTCTTTGGATTTGAGACTTTAGTCTTTGCAACTTTACAGATCTTCTTTATGCACCTAGAGCTTGTAACGCTCCAAAGAGAAAGGAAATTGAAATCGCATCATATGACCCCTTTAATGTATTTGCCCTGATTTTATCCGTTTTCCTGTGAAATTTATCTATTTTTATATTATTTTGTCATCATTATTTTGTTTCAAGGAGTTTAAAATGGTCCTTATCAACGCCTTGAATGACATGGCAATAACATTCTATCACATTATTTTGAGAGTTAACGTTTTGGGCGCTTTTTTTTTTTCTTGGAGTGGGCGGGTTTTGGTG